AAAAAAACAACACTGAATATGCAAAATCTAAGAAGGGAATAAGACTGAGAACAGAATGTCTGAACCAATCTTCTTGGGTTGATGAAAATGTTCTAAAATTGATTTTTAGTCATAGTGGCAAAATCTGGTAAATTTAATAAAAATCATTGAATCATATAGTTGAACTGAATCAATATTGCAATATGTAAAGAGTACCTCAAAATAAAAGCTGTTCAAAAAACAAAGCTCAGGGCTAGAGATTTAGTTCAGTGGTCGAGTGTGGGGTAGCTCTGATCAAGAGCTGAGCACGCCCCCCTCAGCCTTGAGTAATGGGGGTGTGGAACTGGCATCCCACGCAGCACGAAGCAAGCAGGCCTTACCTTCGCAGGTAAGGAAGTGCAGCTCTGGGACTGGGTATCACCCAATGAGACTGGACTACAGCCCCCTGTTTGTTGCCTTATTTGGGTGGAATATTCTATCAAATGTCTTTCCCCTAATAAAAACAGGATTTCGGGGTACGCTCGCTCTCTTGCCTCTTGCCTTCCTTGCTCCCCTTGCCCTTTAGCTTGGGAGCTGTCACATGAGGTCTCAGAGCCGTCCCTGACCCCTGAAAAAGGTATTTCTGGTTTGTGTGGTCTTTTTGTTGCCAGTGCAATTCACACGGAGTGACCCTGACTCGTGGCAAGCACAGGAGTGGGAGACAGTAGAGCACTTGCCTAGCGTACCTGAGGCCCTGAGTTTGATCACCAACCCAGAAAGGGGAAAAAAAATCAACTAGCCTGGACCGCTTAGAATTCTTCTGAGGGAGCATTTCAGGAGTGAAAGCTCTGGGCAGAGATGAGACTGGAACAAATAAAAAAAAGACCCAACTTACCATGAGAAATAAGAACACTGTTACTCATAACTGTATGGGTTTAAATCCCACCTCCAGCAAGTTTCTAAACTTTAATAGTAAATTTAGTAATTGCTATTATTTCTAAGGGAGTCTTTAGGACCCAACCTCTCAGAACAATTTTGCCCAGAACCTGGACTAAGAGACTTTGCATTGCTGGAAGTGAAGCTCTAGGAAGAAAAGTAAAGAAAGTGAATGAAAATGGTCAAGGAAGTTCCAGGCCCACCCAGCACCGCAAAGTCACCTACCAAGCTTCACTTTCTTCCTTTTCTCATCGAGTTTCTGGGTCCTCTCTGCTGCCTGCTTCTTGGCTTTTCTGACCTTGTCATATGCAGCCTGACAGGAGAAAGGAACACAGAGCAGTAGGTCAGCCAGAAAAAAAGGACAGAGCCCCAGCAATCTCCCTAGCCCCTGCCTCCTAGCCCAGAGTCATCAGGGCAACAGGTAGGAGACTGGCTCTCTGGGGCTTAGACAAAGACTGTGCCCCATGGCAGAGGGCAGAGGATCAAGGCTGAAAGCAGCAGCGGTCTCTAACCAATGGCAACTATACAGATACTTACCCTGGCTGCAGCATCAGTCAGTACTTCCAAGGCCTGAGAGAGCTGGTGGAAGAGTTCAGCTAAATAAGGACCCAGAAAACAGAGTAAAGAAAGTTAGACTTGGCAATGATATGCTCCCTCAAAAAAACACTTCTTAGCCACAGGAGGGCAGAAAAACTGACATCAGCAGATGGCACACCTGCAAGGAAGAGTGAGTGCATCAGCAACTAACTGGATGCCCTAACGTGAAGCCCAGACCAGGCCATGAGCATCTACACTTCAGAGCATTCCCAAGCAGAGCTTAGCACAACACCCAAGTGACTAACTGGGTCTTTTCCTTCCCATGCCCTTGGAGTCTCACCTGCTCTGGGATTATCAGGATTTTTGTCTGGGTGACAGGATAGTGCCTTCTGCCTGTATGCCTTCTTCACCTAGAAGAGTCAGAAGATGTGGTCATCCACTCCTCTCACAGTGACAGAGAAATCTTGATAAAACAATAAAAGAAACTCCATGCCCATCTAAAAGAAAGGCTGCTG